GCCTTTCTACAGGAAGCAAAGACATATAAGTTCCTGCCCATCAACTGAGAAGTGGTGTTCCCCTGAAGTCTATCTAAGCTGACAGTTTGCAGTTTAGCTACTTAAATGCTTTGAGAATAAGATGTGTCAAAACTTTGTTTCTCGAAAGGTTTTTTTCCTTGTCTTTTAAAAGCAAAGTTCTGTTGTAGACTGTGACATCATCGCTCTAAAGACTGTGGGTGAGGGAGACCGTAAGGACTGGCAGCCACATTCCATAACTGTAGGTATGGTGTAATGGCTCTTCCATAGACCCTTAGTAGGCAACAGATTTTCTGCAGTTTTACTTCTTTTAAAGTACAAGCAGAACGTCTTATTTTACTGACCACAGCCTAGAAGAAGCCTTTCAATTTTCTTTTTTGAACAAGCAGATGAATGAAATGTATTTCACAGAAACCACAAAACCCACGTCAGGTGTGAAAGCATTTTTTTTTACCTGACAAGTCAAAACTGTGAGACATGCTAAGCGGCCGCACTGCTGGAAAAAAGAAAACAAACAATAAAGAGAAAATAATTCAGCTGTTAGAAATATACAGGGAGGACAAAAGAGAAGGGAAAATTCGAGAAGACCTGGAGTGGCACATTTCAGACTGTAAGGCAGAAGGCAGTGAATAAAAATCTAAAATATAATGAGACCGTGAGTTTTAGTTTCAATTCTATCACTCAGACTTCAAATGAAGTAACAATAAAAGGAAATAACTTTTTAAAGAGCATGTTAAAAATAAGCATGATAAAGTCAATTTTCAAAGAACCATAGTACTATAGAATTTTTTACTTCAATATATCGATTGAAAGAAAAAAATAGTCATTTTAAAAAACACAGTTTTAGGGAACATACAAAATCTTTAAAATTTAAAGATAAATGTATTATTAAATAATTTATTTCAGGGTGAAAATTTGGCTTTCTGCATAGAGGTGAAACATTTTATATGAAATCTCATTTAAGAGCTAGCAGCATCACAATCTGATATAATAAAAGCCTAGTATGCAAACTGTCCCCTGGAAGTTCGACCAGGGGGCGGGCTGGGGGAAATGAGGGAGGCCTTGGCCAGTGGTAGTAGCAACAGGCAACTGGGGGAAGGGAGGGAGTACCCAGCCAGCAGAGGCTAGGGACCCTACCAGTGCATGAAATTTGTGCACTAGGCCCCTAGTATGTCAATAATTGTCTATTGAAGGCAGTGTAACCTTGTAGTCAAAACGAGGCCTCAGGGGCCAGAATGCCTAAATCTGAACATCAGCTCTGCCACTTACTACCAGTGTGATTATGGGCAAGTTACTTAACCACTCTGTGCTTCAGTTACTTCATCTATAAAATGGTAATAATGATATCACACCTCATGGAACTGTTAGGAATATTAAATAATTTTGTACCACACACACACACAAAAAGGTGCTCAGAACAGTGCTTGGTACACAGTAAAAAGCTCAATAAATATACTTTCTTAAGAATAAACTTATTTATTTCCTATTGAATACTTTGTGTGTTTTTTAAATTTTTATAACATACTAAAACCAATTTAATTTTATAACTTTAAGTGGATGAATTTCATGATAGATAGATTTATCTTAATAAAACTTTTTAAAAAGGTTATACAAAGATTTGGTGAATTTGGGTATTCATGACAGTCAGAATTATCTATTTTCGCCACAGCCCAAAATTCACACCAGGACTATGCACCCTGTGACCTAGGTTCAGGGGACAGGTCCTCTGTGGTCAGAAGAGGACAGAACATTAGATGTAGTGGGGAAGGAAGCACAGGCATGTCTGCCCAGTTCAAGTTTTCCTGGTGGATTGCCTATAGCATTCTAAAGCCCACATTTAACAGCATGTAAATATCTCTAGATGTTTTTTGGCAGATATTTTTTTAAAGGAACAATTTATATTTACTACCCAAAGTCTCAATATAGTGTCTTAGAAAAAATGATGTGAAGGAAAAGCATTCAGTGACATCTCAACTTAGCAAGATGTCAGAATCCCATGCAGATGTTTTAAAAAGCACTTAAGTCAACAAAGGGGATGTGACTATTAAATGGGGCAAATAGAGCAACTATTTGTTAAGAACCATACTTATTGTTTAATAATCAGGAAATAATATTTTATGAATCTCATCCTAATATACAAACTATATTATAACTTTTAAATAACCAATTTACTGTGTTTTAGTTGTTTTTCAACATTTTACACTGACGAGAATAACTCTCCATATACCATTAAAAAAAACTCTGCATCTCTAAACTTAAATACTAAAAAACAAAAACAAAGGAACTCAAATACTACCGAATCTAGATTTCCCCAATTATGTAGAGAAAATAAAATGGTACACATTGTAAAAGCACTCATCACTCTTCTCCAATATATTAGTCTGCTCTTCTCTGGTACATGAGCATATCTTTGGAAATAGATTGACTACTGCACAAAAAAGAGATGCTATTATTTCTTAAAAGATGAGGTTCAGATTTTTCTAAGTTCCATATACCACGAAGAGGACAGCGATCAAGCATCATAGCCAGTAGGATGTTTAGAAAAATGATGCTTTTAAAAGTAACAACTTGTATTTAAAATACAAAATCTCAATAAGAGATGTTAGGAAAAAGAAAATGATCAGATATGAACACTATGTTACAAGAATAGTAATTTCAGACTTAATAGGAAAATAGTCAGTGAAACAACAGAGAAATGGGTAAACACAGTTTAGCGATATGTAAGGATATCATGTCCTTATAAATAATGGTTTGAGTCATATTTACTGGCAGTGGAAGTGCTCATGCCACATACAATGTTAAATGAAGACAGAAGAATACTGTACATAATTTTTTTGTTTCCAATTCAAGATGCACAAGTAGATTTGCAGGAACTCTCTCTGGTTGTTGAAACTATGGATAGCATTTCTTTAAACATTTACATATTTCCTCCATTTCAACAGTGGGTTTCTACTTGCAATTACATGGAGAAGAATGATTATAAAAATATTTAGGGAACACTTCTTCAAGTTTGCCGACCACTGGGTTAGGATAAGTTTGGCAGAATTAACTGACATCAGAATTGAGTTATTATAGAAAGTGATTTTCAATGTGTAGTAAATTTTTAAAAATCTAGTCTAAAACAGTTATCCTACAATTCAATTTCCTTATTTTTCCACAGTGGTTCTAACTCTCTGTTCTAAAAAAAATGTATACATATAGTCTATGAAATATGCATACATTTTAAAAACATTTCAGGGGATTCACAGACGCCCCTGAGGCCCAGTTAAGGACCCCAGGAGAAGAACTCTTGGTTCACATGGTTTATATGTTTTGGCTCATTATTATGTAAATGCTCAAATGGATTTGTCACTTTGCATGCTATAAACATATTTTAAAAATATCTTTATTGATATCAGAGAGGACTGATGAAGGAAAAAGATAGAAATATCAACGATGAGAGAGTCACTGATCGGCTGCCTCAGTACGCCCCACATTGGGGGTCCAGTCCACAACCCAGGCATGTGCCCTGACAGGAATCAAACCCTGACCAATCGATGTTCAACCACTGAGCCATGCTGGCTAGGCTAAACATCATTTTTAAGAGCCAACACTTGCTGCCATAAAAATTAGATAGGGATAAATTGATATAACTTTTATTTTTAGGTTAGTAATTGTAAGGTACATTTAAAAATTTCAACACATATAGGAGTTCTTTTTACAGCCAAGTCTCTGTACTACGTACTGGGGTCACAATAGTGAAGACATACACAGGTTCTGCCATCATGAAAGTCACAATGTAACAGAAGGGCTGAGAGTCAAGGAGCATCAATATGGAGTGACTGGAGAGTTCAGAGCTGAACGCAGGGAGAGTAATCAGAACTGATGCAATAAATAAATCAGAGAAGATGGCAACTTAGGTTACGATAGTGGCTGTTGAGAGGAAGACTAGAAAGATCCAGAAGTAAAATCAACAGGGCTTGGCTGTTAAGAGTCAGAGATGATGCTGAAGTTTGAGTTGAGCATACTGAGATGGGGAAACAGGAAGAGACAGTTTGGGTAGAAAGCAGATGAGTTTTCTTGTGGACTTGTTGGGCTTGTTTTGCTTGTAGAATATAAGGAGGCTCTGTCTAGTAGACAGATGGATGCATGAGCTTGAACTTTTAGAGAAATCTGTGCTATAGATTGGGGCTGGAAGATAGCCAGAAACAAAAACTATGGAAAAGGGCATGGTTGAACAGGAAGAAGTGAGCCAAGATAGAAACTTGAAGAATCAAGAAGAGTCTCAAAGAAGCAGAAAAAGAAATGAGAGGAGAAACTAGGTGAGGGTGGTGTCACAGAACTGATTCCTTTTCTGTTCAGGTGCCATTATAATCTATTTTCCTCATGAAAAGTTTCTCTGAATTCTTCAGGCACCTTACAAATTGGAGGAGAGCTGTATAAACAAAATGTATACAAACATTTTACAATATGATCTACCTATAAATCAAAATCAACGTGTGCATATAGTATACATTAAACACATTAGATTTTCTAAATATAAAAGAAGTTTTATAATAAGGTAAGTGATACTAGATAGTAATTGATGCTTTCATCACCTAATACTCTATCTTTAAACCCACTATTAAGACAACAGAAACTTGCAGTAACACTATATCTTTATTCTAAAACATATCTTTGTATATGTGTCACAATTTATAAAATATTTTAACCACAATCTTATTTAATTCTTCCAAAAAAGCCATAATACAGGGGTAGAGGAATTTTTATGCACCTTCTACTGACAAAGAAATAGACACTCAGAGAGGTAAAGACACTCCTAAAACCACAGTCTGGAGACTGGCAGAGCTCTGTCCACTCTGCCAGGATGTTCTTGTCCAGTTCAGGATCATGTAGGGAAAGACTTTCTTATTCTTGTACCATTCGTTCCACTAAGCTGATGATATAAAGACACCTTTCCAAGCGGGTGTGACTAGACAGGAGTGTGGAAAGCAGCGACTCACCTAATCTGCTCCGTCTAATCTCTTCTGGCGAGACGGGCCGCAGCTTTCTTTCCGCCTTGATTTCTTCTAGTATTCTTTCATGGAGGCTCCGTGGCCGTGGTGGGGTGGGTTTTAGTTTTCTGGCTGAGGCCTTGGAGAAACACATAATGGTTGGAGACGTAGAGTAGTGGTCCTTAAATAGTTTTTACTTAAGTCCATTCATACAGTATAGTGTTATGAAATTATATTTTTTGGATTGACACATTGCTTGATAAAAAAAAAAAAAAAAAACTATTTAAAGTCATTATCAAGATTCCTAAAGCAAGAGGGAGATTGCTGAATTTCAGAGTGATTTAGTCATGTGTGCTTAACTAATTTTAAAGTGACAACTGTGGCTCAGTGATTCAGTGTCAATGTATGAACCAGGAGGTCACAGTTCAATCCAGGTCAGGGCACATGCTGAGTTTGTGGGCTCCATCCCCGGTGGGGAGTGTGCAGGAGGCAGCTGGTCAATGATTCTCTCTCATCACTGATGTTTCTCTCTCTCTCTCTCTCTCTCTCTCTCTCTCTCTCTCTCTCTCTCTCTCTCTCTCCCCCTCTCTTCCTCTCTAAAATCAATATACACACATAAATATATATATATATATATATATATACACACACACACATACATATGTGTATATATGTATATATTTAAAAAAAGACAATTTTGCTAAAGTTAAAATTATGTTTCCTATATGCAAGCATGAGAAGCAATTAACTGAAATGCAAGCTATTCTTTAATACTATTATTGTTTTTGAAAAGAATATTTTCAAGTCACCACAATCTTCTCAGATTATTACTATCTTTATTCTATAGCTGCATGAATAAAGGCTCCAGGAGGCTGATTAACTTGCTCAGAGACATGGCTGCTAAATCTTGGAGCTCGTGTGTATATCCAGGTTTATTTGACACCATGCTCTCTCTTCTCTCTTATGACCTGCATTCTTAATATTATTTCCTAGGTGGCCTCTTTCCCTTCTTTTAAAAAGATTTATAAGAGGGATAGTTAATTATGCTTTAGACCCTTTGTGCACTCCCTTCCAGCTTAATGAATGTACAGGATTAAGAGGCTTTGGTGAGGACTTGTATTGAGCCGAGGGAGAAGTGAGAAACAAAGGAAACACAAACCAATGCTCATCCAGATTAAAATGTTCTGATTCCATGGTTACTAGAAAGAACCATTAACAGAGAAAGATAATATAAAAGTAGATATACAGAAGGGTGAATTTACTGCAAAACAGTATGGAAATTACAACTTAATCAAAGGGGTTATTAGCACTATTAAGTAAACTGGATGGGCAGGCAATCCACACCAGGAACAATTTGGTATTATATTTAGCCATTATCCTAGAGAGTTTTTGTCCAGATTTTGCACTATAACCCAGGTTGTTTTGAATTGAAACATCCTAAGATAGCCTTGTATTAAACAAATGTTGAGTTTTCCTTGGACTTAAATGTAAATCTACAGCTGGGAGTCACCATCTATATTCTATACATTTAAAGGCTAATATGCAAAGTGTCCCCTTGGGAGTTCAACCGGGAATTCGATTGCTAGCTATGACATGCGCTGACCACCAGGGGATGGCATAGAACGAAGGAAGGCCCCGGCTGGTGGCCAGCAGCTGGAGAAGGAAGGCTCTGGCCAGCAGTGAGAAGGCCCCAATCGGCCCTGATCACTGGCCAGGCTTAGGGACCTTTCTTGTGCACGAATTTCATACACCAGGTCTCTAATTCTGAGAATAAAAACTCAATGCAAAAAACTAATCACTTTAAGAGCTGAGTTCTAGAGATCACACTCTACAGGAGAATAATTCATTCTGTTAACTCTAATCAAGAGGAATACATCAAATTACATACTGGATTTAAAGGAGGTCTTGATCTGATGAAGTCGAGAATGATTTCATGAGCACTTTTTTTTAACCGAGGAGGAATATCACCATTCACCTGAAAAAGAAAGACAGAAAGTAGATTCACTTGATTATAGCAGTGATTTTCAACAGTATGCCGCAAGAATTTTTAAAACAAGCAATACCTGACTATTTAGTCAGGGGCACTGATCTCTTTTTTCTTACATTGTCAAATTAAAAAAAAATGACAATCTTAATCATAGAAACAAGTATCACATGATCTCACTCATATGTGGAATCTAATGAACAAAAATAAATTCATGAAGAAAATATATCTAGAGACATAGAAGCATGGAAGAGACTGATGAATCTCAGCGGCAAGGCAGTGATGGGTGGGTGGGTGGGTGGGGAGAGATTTAACCAAAGAATTTATATGCATATATGCATTATCCCTGGGTCAAGAAATAAAAGAAAATAAAGGCCGAAACCGGCTTGGCTCAATGGACAGAGCGTCGGCTTGGGGACTGAAAGGTCCCGGGTTCGATTCTGGTCAAGGGCATGTACCTTGGTTGCGGGCATATCCCCAGTAGGGAGTGTGCAAGTGGCAGCTGATCGATGATTCTCTCTCATTGATGTTTCTAACTCTCTATCTCTCTCCCTTCCTCTCTGTACAAAATCAATAAAATATATTTTTTTTTAAAAAGAAGAAGAAAATAAAGGATCAAAAATACAAATCATAAAATGGCACATGTCTAGCAATAATTACTTTAAATGCAAATGAATTACATACTTTAAATGATATACGGTGACCAAATGCTGACTACAAAAGATTCACTTCAAATAAAAAACAAAACAAAAAGAAAGCTGTGATAGCAATACTTATACCAGACAAATTAGATCTAAAAAACAAAATAAATGAACAAGAAGAACAGAAACAGACTCATAGATACAGAGAACAGTTTGATGGTTACGAGATGGGAGGGAGCATGGGGGGAAAGGGTGAAAAGGTGAAGGTACAAATTGGCAGTTTCAGAATAGTCACGGGAGTGTCAAGTACCACATAGGGAATATAATCAATAATACTGTAATAAATATGTATGATGTCAGATAGGTACTAGATTTATCGGGTGGTTAGGTTATATAATGATTTAACTTCTAAGAACTTAATTCAAAGATTTAATTATAGTTATTAAAAAATGTATATACAAGGTAACACAAAACAGGATGTTGATAACTGGATACAAGTTGATTAGTTTAATAAACTCTGGGATAGCCATAAGCTGGAAAAGATATAGTCATTTAGAAATGATGTTGTATATACAATGACATGAGAAAATGCTCATATGTTAAGTGAAAATAACAGGTTAGGAAACAAAGATTCCAATGTTAATCCATATGTCCAAATAAAATGTATAGAAAAAAAATTGAAGGTTATACACCAGCATGTTAGCAAAATTTCTCTCTGGATTGTAGAATTACATATCTTTAATGTTTTTCTTTGAGCTTTTTTATATTTTCCAAATTTTCTATAAATGACCATGTATTACTTTTATGAGAAAAAATCATTTTTAAGTATAACATTGAAAAGAACATTTTCAACAAATAAGATTACTGCAGAATATCCATTTGAATCCATTAATAGTTTTCTATGTTTCTTACCATCACTTTTCGCAAAGTGTATCTTTTGGATCTAATGTCATCCATCAGCATCTCATAAGGGGTGAGTTGATATTCAATGGGCAAAGGGTTGTACTGCCGCTCTTGGACCTTTTTAAGTTTTACTCCATTCCGCAAATCCCTCATCACTTGCACCCAGAATCGAGCCTGAAAGTATCAATGGTGGAGAGACATCAATGAATGAATTTATTAGTGTCCTATAAATAGCTACAATCACTCAGAAAAAAAATGAAAACTTGGATTGCAAACAAAAACTATTTTAAAATTAAATTTCAGGATACTAAAAAGTGAGTAGAAAGCCCAGTAGCTTTACTGGGCTTTAACTGCTCAGACACTTGGGTATAAATCCTAACTCATTCACTTTGCTACATTAATGGTCTCAGTTCCTCAGGCCTCCTTGTGTCTACACTGTTATGTAGCTTTGCTCACTAGAGGAAGATTGCATTTCTCACACCTTGACTATACGATTTGCTTGGCCATTGGAATAGTAATGGATATGATGTGACTCAGGGCTTCAAAAGCAAATGCACAATGGGCTGTCATTCGTACTTCCATTATCGCTATAAGGACAACATGCCTGGATTGACATGATACCCACTGGAATGACCACCTAGAGAAGGATGAGATACACATAAAGCGGAGTTACTACAACTGATCTGTAAACTCGTGAGCTATTACTGTCTAATGCCACAGTGCTTTTGCAGTGTTTGGTTACATGGCATTATAGTGACCATAACAACTTATATAACCACCTACTAGCTATTGGACATCCAGGTAGCTGCTTCACCTTTTTGAATCCTGGCTTCCTTATCACTAAAAGAAAATGGTACTTCATAACATGATGAGCAGATCAGAGATGTTCTCTACATAGAATATGTGTTCTGAACATGGAAAATGCATAAAAATGATAATTTTTATGTTATTATCTTTGCATAAATTATTTAATATCAGTTTTCTTATCTACAAATAACAAGTTGCCTTGTCTATCCTTCAAAAGAATGAGAAATATATGAAATACTTATAGTATTTCATATATTCAATGGGCAAATTATTATATAGTAATATAATAATTTTAATTATATTACTATAATATAATATAAAATTATAGAAAATAATAGAAATATATGAAATACTTATAGTATTTCATATATTCAATGGGCAAATTATTATATAGTAATATAATAATTTTATATTATATTACTATAATATAAAATATATTAAATATAAATATTAACCCTTTTGTTTTCCCGCTTTATAAGCTACAGTGTTATAGTCTGTACTTCATTGAAAATAAATCAATATGATATTTAACTATAATATTATAGTTTGTTACAATTAATAAGTATCATAAAAATAATAAAAATCAATAAAATATATTTTTTTTTTGAAAAAGGAGAGAGAGAGAACAGGGAGAATGCCCAGCTCTTACCCAGTCAGCATTTTTCAGCTCCTCCAGTTCTGTGTTTGATTCATCGCTCTTCTCCATTTCTTGAATCTTCTTAAGATTCTACCAATTGAAATAAAAATATTTGGCATAAAAATTTCATTAAGCTACCTTCTCAATTTAAAATTTTTAATTGATGCCTTCAGATAAAATATAAACAACACGGTTTTTGAAGCAGATAATACAGGTAATACAGGTAGTGTCAGGTTGAACAGAATCACCAATTCTTCAGGAAAACCTTCCCTTCCCCCTTGAACAAGCCAAATCTTCCTGCCATACAACTTTGCAGCACCATAAACCTTTTCTCTATAGTTCTTATCAACACTAATTTTACATTTGTTTGTGCCTTCCTCTAGGCTTCATGACTCAGATTTCTGTTCTCCAAAGTTAATATAGGCATTGCCACTTTTTGATGCTCAATATATATTTGTCTAATAATTTAATACATTTCAAAATACAAAATGTTCTTTTATTTATTTTTAATTTGATACATGTATATATTGCAAAATGGCTATAACAATAAGGCAATAAGGTTAGTTCCATTTCCATCACTCACATAATTATGTATTTTTTTTAATGGTGAGAACATTTAAGATCTACTCTCTTTGTAACTTTTAAGTATTCTACCTAGGTAATAAAAGAGTAATATGCAAATTAACCAAAACTCTGCTACACTCACAAACCACACCCACAAGCCAATCAGAGTGAGTATGCAAATAAACCCAACCAAGATGGCTGCAGCCACAGAGAACAGGAGAGAGGCTTGGGTTTCCCAGGCAATGGAAGAAGCCAAGCTTTCTGCCTGCCCTAGCCAGCCTAAGCCTCCACTCAAGACTACAAAGTTTCAGTTATAGAAGGTAAACAAATCCAAACAAAAATGGTGGCAGCCACAGAGCAAGCAGAAGGCTTGGCTTAGCTCCAGGTTACAAAGTTTCAATTGTAGAAGGTAAATAAATTCCAGATACCAGGGACTCTGCTTGGGTCACCGGCCTGCAAACCACCACAGGCCCCTTGCTCAGGCCGCCCCATGCCCCAAGAGAACCCCTTCAGGGCAAAACAGCTGGCCCCACCCGTGCAACAAGCCTCTATCCTATCTAATAAAAGAGTAATATGCAGATTGACCATCACTCCAACACACAAGATGGCTGCCCCCATGTGGTCAAAGATCCTGCCCCATGTGAACACAAGATGGCCACCACCACAAGATGGCCAGCAGAGGTGGGCAGTTGGGAGGGACCAGGCCTGCAAGGGAGGGCAGTTGGGGGTGATCAACCCTGTAGGGCAGTTAGGAGTGACCAGGCTGGCAGAGGAGGGAAGTTGGGGGCAAACAGGCTGGCAGGGGAGCAGTTAGACAGCAATAAGGCTGGCATGGGAGTGGTTAGGGGGTGCTCAGGCTGGCAGGCAGAAGCGGTTAGGGGCAATCAGGAAGGCAGGCAGGCGAACAGTTGGGAGCCAGCCGTCCTGGATTGTGAGGGGGATGTCCGACTGCCTGTGGGATCAGGCCTAATCAGGCAGTCGGGCATCCCTCTAGGAATCCCAGATTGGAGAGGATGCAGGCTGGGCTGAGGGACAGCTCCAACCCTCCGGCCCCGCCCCCCAGTGCACAAATTTCACGCACCGGGCCTCTAGTCTATATTAATAAAAGGCCTGTGGCCATAACGTTGTGATGCTGTCAGGGACGCAAGTTATTAGCGGTGGAGCTACAAGCATCAGAGGGCAGGGCGGCCAGCCGAGGCAAGCTGAAGTGAGCTACTCACATATGATTTCGTGCGTGCTGGGCCTCTCGTGTAATATAATATTGTTAACTATAGTCACCAGGCTATAATAGACCCCCAGAACTTGAAGTTTGTACCCTTTGAAATTGCATTAATTCAACATTTGCAATAAAAATTTTTGATAGGTAAAATATATATTCACATATTAATTACAATTTTGTGTTATAACATTCCTACTCACAATAATTCAACTCTAATATATTTTGCTAAGCATATTTGCCTAATTGCATTTGGACTAAGTTTGTTTTTTTTAAATATTTTATTGATATTTTACAGAGAGGAAGGGAGAGAGATAGAGAGCGAGAAACGTCAATGAGAGAGAAACATCGACCAGCTGCCTCTTGCACACGCCCCACTGAGGATGTGCCCGCAACCAACATACGTGCCCTTGGCCGGAATCGAACCTGGGACCTTTCAGTCCGCAGACCGACGCTCTACCACTGAGCCAAACCGGTTTCGGCTGGACTAAGTTTAAATGAATTGTAGGAAACCTAATTTGTTTTATATACAAATAATGAATACTTAATATAAAATATTTATAAATCATTTATTTTTAGTTTTTCAACATCTCAGATTAACCATCTGCAAAATGATAACAACACCATTGGGCTTTTTTGCACTTAGCAATGCCTAGGAGTATTAATTTTATTCAGAAAGAATAAAATTACTCTGAAGAAAAGGTGTTATAAATAATGTATTATCTCCTCTCTCCCTAGGAAAGAAATTAAACGAAAAACAAGTATATTTGATTGTTTCAGAATGTGTTTCCATAATTATTTTTAAAAAGAAGTCAGGTTTCCGCCAAAACCGGTTTGGCTCAGTGGATAGAGTGTCGGCCTGTGTACTGAAAGGTCCCAGATTTGATTCCGGTCAAGGACGTGTACATTGGTTTCGGGCACATCCCCAGTAGGGAGTGTGCAGGATGCAGTTGGTCGATGTTTCACTCTCATTAGCATTTCTAGCTCTCTATCCTTCTTCCTCTCTCTGTGGAAAATCAATAAAATATATTAAAAAAAAAAAAAAGTCAGGTTTCCTGCTTGGGACTATATAATGAGACACTTGCCACTCCTGAGTCATGGCCTTAAGCTCCCTCTTCGGGCCTTCTGTTCCCCACCTTTAAAAGAAAGATGTATAGAAACCCTTCCCTCCCTTCCTTTCATAAAGATCCTTCTCTGTAGGGAATGCATCCTCTACAGTCTGAGCAGGGCTGAGCCATGCTTAGCACCTTGTCACCTACTCATAGGGATGAGGATACCATCTCCCCAGTCACAGTGGCTGGTTCCTTCGTGGCATGTCACTCCTTATCTTCCTCCATCACTTCTCTGCCCCCGTTAACAGAAAAGACTTTCTGCTGTAGTTACTGCACTGAGAACATCTGAGATTTGGGTGGCACCCTATCATCTTACCTGCCTTTTCCTGAGATCCTGTCCTGGGGATAGAGAAAGAAGCCAGGCCTGACCACAGGGTTTGGGGTACCGGATCCAGCTGTGCCTAAAGCTAATGGTACCCTTAAACTTCCCACTTATGGGGGCCACTAAACTCGGCCCACTGCACCAGTGCGAATTTGAGGGGACTGTCACTTGCAATGGAAACAGTTATGGTTTAATATGTCCTCTTAGTCTAGAAATATAAGTTCATTCTTCGTTGTCTTTGGAGTACTCTGGTGGAATAGAAGAAGCATATGGCTTCTTTTCCATCCAACCTTACTTTTTACTATTCTCCAACATATCCCTGACTATATGTCTCACTGATATGCCTCTACACATCTCCACCTGTACTTGTGCTGTGATAAAATCTCTAACTCTCTGCTACTAAGAAACACTATCTGTTCTTTATAATACAGGACATAATTTCAATGAACAGTCCAAAAATTTCACATTTATTTTTCTGAATAGTAGCATAAATTGTAACTCAGATACTTCCTAGCTGTGTGACTTTGAACAAGTTATTAAACTGCTCTAATCCTCAGTTTGATGTTTTCATCTATAAAATGCAGGTAACTACCTTTAGCATTCTGTTACTATTACATAAAGTAATACAGGAGAAATACAGCATGCAGCCTGGCTCATGATAAGCATATAGTAGGTATTAACTTTATAAGCCAATGAATATCTGTGGGGATTTGATTGTGAACACTTTTACTCCATCACAAAAACACTGCATTCTTTTTACCAAGTAAGATCTCTCTTTAGCTTCTTTATGAAATAAAATTCTGATTCAGCAATAAATCAATATAATACAGTTAAGAATCTATAAATACTATAATTGAACAAGCTACAACAAATGTGCAACTAAAAATCTCACGTTTTTCTCATTTGCAGCAAATACAAATGAGATATTTGAAACAAAAATACAGATTTTAGAAATAAGCTTCTGTCAATTATATTCTAGCTTCTGAATAAAAAATTTTGCTTGCACAAATGTAATAACAGATGCCAACCTGTGCCTGGAATATGGTGAAAAAGTTCTGAGAGCACTCACATGGCAATTAACTCTCCTCATTTTTAACATAACCAGTTTCAAGATAACAATTAGAACTGCTCCTTGGCAACATTTTCAGCTCCTGGCATGTTAAAAATAAAGAAATTAAATCTACTGTGTACATTACAAGTATATCAAAGCCCAGAGAGTATTTTTAATTCAAATGTCTCTTCTTAAATTAAACTACCCTTACAAATATATTCACATATAAAAATAATCTATCTCTCTATATAAAAGCCTAACCGTTCGACTGTTAGCTATGGCACATACTGACCACCAGGGGGTAGATGCTCAACACACAGGCATGGAAACATGGTATAGAATAATAAATCTCAGAGGGGGGAGGGTGGAAAAAGATTAACCAAAGATCTTATATGCATTCCTGAGGCCCAATGCACAGATTTGTGCACTGGTGTGGTCCTTCACCTGGCCTGCAGGAGGCAGGGTCAAAACGGGTAGTATGACATCCCCTGAGGGGTCCCAGATTGCGAGAGGGTGTAGATCAGGCGAGGGACCTCACAGGTGCATGAATCCATGCACCAGGCCTTTAGTATTTTAATAACAGCATTTTAATGATCGCCATTTTCCTCCATATTGTTAACTATTTGTCATCTAATGGTATTCCCCTATGCAAAGTTCAGAAACTTTTAAATGTGTAAAAAGGAATGTTTCAATAATTCCGTGAACCACGTTTTTTTATTCAGTTAAAATATGGTAATATACTTTCAAAGAAATTACATTGTTTTTTCTCCTAACAGAAGATACTATATATAAAATTCCTTTTTATATTTCTATGTATAATATTCC